TTGTCTAGGGGGGCGGGGTAAAAATTGAATAAATAAATAAATAAATAAAATTAAAGGATCATCATCATGCTATCCAACAATGTATTTCCAAACACTTTGTTCCAAGGTCTGATCATTGCTTTGCCCTGTCCTAATATCACCATCACCAACAACGCCCTGCCTGTTCTAGAGTCAGCCACTCCCCCATCTTTGACCACACAGTCTCTCTACTAAGAGACCCATGAACATGGTGCTGCTCACCCCAACTTGAGCCTTTGCTCAAACTTTGTGAGTATTCAGGCATGTGTTTTGTTCAGTATTTGGTATGAACATTTCCAAAAGGAATATTGACACTCAGAAAGCATTATTTTCCCTTCCCTGCTCCTCCCTTCCTTGCTCCGAGGCCCAGAAATGTATCTTTTATTATAACGTCGTCTGTTCTTCTGAGTTTTATGCCTTTAATTTAATTGGTGCTTATGTCATGTCATTTTGTAGTGTAGTCTATGTGCTCTGTTTCTGTTTATTACTATTATATTTTATAAAGGCCCAGAAATGTACAGTATCTTCTATTATAACGTAGTCTGTTCTTCTGAGTTTTATGCCTTTAATTTAATTGGTGCTTATGTCATTTCATTTTGTAGTGTATTCTATGTGCTCTGTTTCTGTTTATTACTATTATATTTTATATTCCATTATACTTTATTCTGCGCTACCCTGGGAGTTTAGGCTGAAGAGCAGCATAGAAATATTTAAAATAATGGAGGTGTTTTTGCGTGAACTTTTGTTGACTTCATTGGGGTCAGGACTGTAACCTTTTATTTAAAGCATATGCATAAAACAGGAGCAATACTGACACTTGAAAGTAATTGGACCGGAGTTGTTTAAACCATATTATTTTAGCCAACTCCTTGTAATGCCAACATGCTTCTAAAAAAAGGTAAAGGTTCCCCTTGACTATTTTTGTCCAGTTGTGTTCGACTCTAGGGGATGGAACTCATCTCCGTTTCCAAGCCATAGAGCCAGCGTTTTGTCTGAAGACAATCTTCCTTGGTCACATGGCCAGTGCGACTCAGACACAGAACGTTGTTACCTTCCCACCGAAGTGGTCCCTATTTATCTACTTGCATTTGCATGCTTTCGAACCGCTAGGTTGGCGGGAGCTGGGACAAGCGACGGGAGCTCACTCCATCACGTGGATGCTTCTAAACTTCACAATATTTCCAGTACAAAGAGGTTGCAAAATAATCAGCTTTTAAAAACCCTAAAAAAAACCTTTGCTTGGTCAACGCAACCAGGGTGGCCCAAGATATTTTGCAATTTGAGTAATTGAACCGGCTGTCACCTTTCCCACATCCATATATAAAATAGACTGGACTGGCAGCTAAATCTTACTTCTGGGCTGGTGATGAGAAAGTGGCTGTGTAGGTGGCTAGTTTAGGGGGCATCGGGCAGGCTATGTGGTACACCCAGATCTGTTTCCCAGCAATGTGCTGCCACTTTGTGCCCCTCAGCCTCTGCTACCAGAGGCAACTGATTTCCTCTGCCTAAAGGTAGAACTGGCACTTGGGCCAAGACCTTTGCTTGATCAGCCCACCATTTTGTTCTCACACTAGCTACCTAGAAATCCCTCAAGCAGGACACTCCTGTTTGTATTGCCCAGCAACTGATAATTCAGAGCTGCACTGCCTCTGATACTGGAGCTAACACATGGCCATTGTGATGATCAGCTATTGAAAACCTTATCGTCCATGAATTTGTCTAGTCATCTTCTAAAGTGGTACAGCCTGGGGATTCATTTTGACCTCAGGTGTAAGATGAAACCCATGGCAATGCCAAAAATAAAAATGGAACAGCAAAAACTGGCTTCAGATACTCAGCTGTAAGACAAAACAGGCATTCTAGAGCTGAATGGGTGTAGCCCATTGCACTAGCAACTGCAACAGCCTCTCTGAGCTTCTCAAGGAAATGTGAGGTACAATTATAAATAAACAGAAGTTATCTCCACCTTCTGAGAGAGCCTTGTGGAACACAGAATTTGTATTGAATATGAAGTTTAGTACAAACTGCGAACCAGTTTGTTTCAGAACAATACCTTAGAATAAAATCTGGTTCTTTTGCCTCTGTATGAAGCTGAGTTGTGTTTCCTTGGCTGGTGTCAAATGTCCTGGTTTCCCACCGGTCTTGCTGCTGATGTACTCCTATAATTGGCTGCATGAGATTTCTATGGATTCTAATGTCTTCTTCATCCTCCTTGCTTTCCTTTCGGTTCCTGTTTAAAGGAGTGTACCAAGCCACAGCCTAGCAGGGAGAGAGAAAAGTTCTGATTATGGCATTTAATGTTCAAGCATACAGGTTCTACTTTTTGTTTTATTTAGGCCTGGCAGGCTGCCAGCTAAAGAACTCGAATATTTCCTGAAATCCCCTGACACAGCAAGAAACAAGACAGCTGCCACTCCTCCTGCCTGCTTGTACCTTCCCTGTACTAATGGATTTATGCGCCATCTAAGAAATCTATCGTTAAAGTCCTGGATTATGACAGATTGCAAAAGACAAGCCCCTCCATATTTTAGGCCGACTGTCACACCAGGACAGGACATTTCATTTCCAGAGTTATATTTTGTTCCAGAAACCAGCAGAACTATATCTAACATGCAGGCTTTATAGAGAGTTTTGCCAGCTGCACATCTGTAAACAACTTCTCCAAATTTCATCTGCTCGCCCTATAATATTTTTCCCATCGCAAAGAAAAAGCATCACAACAAATCTACTGATTTTCTACCCCATGAAGTTACTTTTTTTCTCACAGCCAACACAAAGTATTGGAACAAAAAAATAATCCAACTAAAGAGAAAAAAAACCCCCACACATGTGATCTTGCTTCTCTGCGAATTTCGATGTAGAGAAATGGAACTCAAATTGTCCAGCTGGCCATGTTTGAAGGAAATAAACAGTCCTTCCATTGTGGAACAGTAGAAATAAATGGGGCAAAGCTATTTTCCCAAGTTTTTGCACACATTAAAAAAAAATCTATTGTTGCTTTATTTGGACTTCACCTAGGAAGTTCTGACACCAGGTGTTTAATTTGCGGACACAAACCCTCCACTGAACACAGGCCATTGTTATATCTTGCAGAATATTAGACTTCTTCTTGGATTTCAAAAGCAATTTTGAAACCTTTTAAATGACCAAACTGGCTACCTTTACCTTCCCTTTGCTTATATGGTGCACTCCAATGAAAATTCTGAACATTCAGAATCTGAAAATTCTCCAGCCCAAATACCAGGACTGCAAGTGTTGGGTGCAGCCAGCTGTGGTCAAAATAAACCTCTTACACAAAGTAGGATGATCATGGATATCACCCTAGTGCCTTTTATTGAAAGTCTTGCTACTCCAGTCATCAGCAAGAATGTCTCCCATAGCAACTTGCAAATTAGTAAAAATAAGAGCCTTCTTGCCTTCAGGGTTACTATCTTAGAGTCTTACCTCTAGTTAAAATTTGCAGTCTCTAATTTAATAAAGCCAGATCTGAGGCAGTTCAGGGCTCCTACATGATGAAAAGGAGATGGGAATCAGAATAATTACCTGTCCACCAGGATTACAAAGGATAGTGGTATACTCTGGGCCGGATTTAAATTTGTCGATATTCTTCCAGAGATAGTCTGTTGGAGGTTTATGAGGCATGTTGGAATTCATGGCCCACACCTGCAATAACCAAACAAGACAAATTGCATAGTATTCCTTGGATTTTTCCCTGGTGTAACACGAAACATATTCCCTCAATTATCAAGTCTCCTCTCCAGTTGCACAGAAATTTTCAGTGCCTAAGGCAAACCCTCAGTTCTGCACCAGGTGAAAGTGAAGCTGGCTAGCCCTGGGCAGTGACACACAAATACCAAATATATTTTTCAAAAAAGCCATTCTCAGCTCTCTCTCTCTCTCTCTCTCTCTCTCTCTCCCATGGTCATAAACACAATATGAAAGAAATATAGGTCAAATCACCTTCTAAGGGGGTGTATGAAGTTTTGTTTTCAGCCTGTGACCCTCTTCAAATGTGTCAGGGCCCCCTAAGGGACCATATGCCCCCCCTTGAGAATGGCTGCTTTAGAACATCAGTTATCAGCCGTGATATGTATACCGCCAATGGGACATGGGAGTAACCTATGTGGTTTTTCGCAAACAGTGGGATTATTATAATTGTACTCTGGTCATAGTAATAAAATGTGTTTCCAATAACACCTGAACATTTTAAAATTTATTTTCTGGGCACTTGAGACTTACTGTTGCTAATGTTGTAGCTGAATATTATTGAGATTTTGTTGAATTGTTCCACTTTGGTTGTTGTGGGCTTTTTGGGCTCTTTGGCCGTGTTCTGAAGGTTGTTCTTCCTAACGTTTCGCCAGTCTCTGTGGCCGGCATCTTCAGAGGACAGCACTTTACATTATTAATCTCACAAGGTTTACATATTTCCTATATCAAATGGCTCATTTGATTATGGTCAATTGACCAGATGGGTGGGATATAAATACAATCAATCAATCAATCAATCAATCAATCAATCAATCAATCAATCAATCAATCAATCAATCAATCAATCAATCAATCAATCAATAAAATGTTTACTTACATTTGCCTGAATTATTTTAATCCCATTCCTGCAGGCTGACTATCCTGTTTCCACCTGTGAAGTACTGGAAGGGTGGATTGGCAAAGTTGCCTGGGATAAGAGTCCCAACAAAAGTGGAGGCTAGAAAAATGACTCCCCCCTCCCAAGCTCTGTATTGTGATATTAGCTGGACAATTTGGACCATTTACTAAAATTTGCTTCATGCCTGTTTCCACTGCGAGCTGGCCCAGAAACAGTTCTAGCTACCCTCTCAACCCTCACGGACCCCATATTTTACAAGAGCCTGCATCCTAGTCTACGGTTTGGGCCCTGAAATGGAACAAGATGCTGTTGTCCTGGCAACCCTACCTGTGAAGTATTTTTAATTGCTGGTAGAAAGAGCTGAAATTTTTAAAAAAATGTTTTGTGGTTTTTGGTTTATTTATTTTTTTGCTTGATGCCATCCCTAACCTTTTCCTTTTCTAATTGTTCCCTTTATGGAACACAATAACATGCATCCTTAGCCTTCTAGAAGTAGCTGGACTGGTTCACTGCAAAGTAGCTACGAAAATGCCAGCATTCACAATATTTCTTCCGTTCTCCCAAGCTTTACTGGCAATCACAAAGGGCCTTTACTTTGATAATAGTTTAATCCCATTATCTCTTCTATTATTTTTAATAGTAATACCACCGTCATCAAATTCATGCCATGTTTATTGTTGAGATGCAAGTTAAGATGTCCAAATAACTTTCTAGTCACTCTCAGGAAATCCAGAATTAGTACAACTATGTGCATCATTCCTCACTTACAGTCCTATTTAGATTTGCATGTGTGCCCCCTCTGCTTCTACATGTGCACAGGCTCCATTTCCATTCTGCAACATTTTAAACATGAAAGACCACATATTTAATGGCCTATGTGGGAGTGGGAGACTGTTGGCAAGGCACACTGGAGAAGGCATATGATGGGTAAGAGTAGGGCTAAGGGTTTTCTTCCCAATGATTCTTTACCTACTACAAAGCAGCCCTTCTTTTTCTAAACAAAACATTGGCCAAAATCCTATTGTTCAGTTTAGCAAATTACAGTAAGCCCATTGAATCATTGGAAATTTAGTGAGACACCTCTTCCATAAGTTCTACTGCCTCAAATTGGCCAACTGCAACTGTAACTTGTTTCCGATAAAATCTACTATTTTAATACATTTGGAACCATCTGAAACCAGTAACTGTCTATGGGTCAAACTTGCACTTAGCACATTTTAAAATGAGCCACTTCCTAAAATGGTGAGAAACACCTATATGTCATAGTACATGATTTTCCTCACTTAACATCCCTTGCGTTTAGTATACTTTATTTTACAATTTCTTCACTGGAAGTTAACAAGGACTTAATTTGCAAATACAGCTGCTGGAGCATGGTCTCTAAAGAATCACAGGGAAGATGTTTTCTTCATAAAGTCTAGCCTGGCCCCTTTTCCAGTCTGCTGGACCTTACCAATAAGGAAGAACAGTTCATGCAGTAAAATTTCATCACCTACTTAGACCAAACTTGTCACAGAGGAGAATTTGAAGCTATCCTTTTCATTTTGCTTACCGTCACTGAAGAATTTGCTTTCATTCTGATCCTTGGAGGAAATCTGTAGATGGCTAATGGGTGACCATTTTGGTTCTGCTGAAGTGTGTAATCTCCAATGCCCTCTTCTTTCTCACAAGAAGTGTTCACTATTTTCACATAATGCCCACCAGAATGAACATCTACTATTTTAAGGTTCCCAACAGCACTACAAATACAATACAAACAGAAGACAATTTCAGTTAGTGCTTTTCAAACTGCTTGGAACAATTGAGAATACCAGTACAGGAAAACTTAGTTTACCATATTCACAAGTTCTTGTCTTCACTGGGAAATATTTAAACATGCAGTTTCCACCCCCAGTGAATAGCACCAATTAGGCAACACATTTGCTGTGGCTTTCCCAAGAACCTGTGTTGCTATTATTATTTTCACTTGGGGCATGGCTAAATCAGAGGCTGTGCACACAACAGCCTCTGTCTCTGTGTCACTAGAAGCGTATCTTTGAGGACCGATTTTCCACTTTGTGTCTCACAGTCCAGTCCATCTTTTATTGGCCATTTTTGCAGATATTGCTATATATTGATGCCAATGATACACTAATACCTACAAGGCATATGAACTCTTATTGACAATGCCCCTTCCCCCTTTTGCAATCTTAGAGCCAATCCTGCGCCTGCCTTTAGGATGAAACAGGAAAGGCCAGGGAAAGCTCTATGAATTCTGCATATAAAAAAGGCAGAACCTTGTGAGATTTGTAAAACCCTCCTCTCTTTCCATGATTTGATCCCTTCTATCTTATTGGAATAATGAGAATATATACTATATTTTCTTTAAAAATAGAAGACCATATGTTCAAATAATTAAGGTCCAATGTATTCATTTTTCAGAATGGACAGAAAAGAAACATAATTAAGGATCTGTTATGTGTTTTAAAGGAATACTGTCACTGAGCATTCCTCCTCTCCAGTAATAAGGAGATGGAGCATGAACGCATGGCACAAATGTGTCACAACATCAGCAATGTTGAGGGCAGGGAGGGAAGTCTTAAAGACTTGCCACATCTCAGTGCTGGCCCTCTTTTTCTGCAACAGAAGGACTATTGGTGAGAAAAGAGGTAAGGTAAATGCCTGCAGACACTGGAAAGGAATAAATATAACTCTGGGCTTTTATTCTTCTAAAGCAACTTCATTGATAGAATTTTTCACTCCTTGTCTCCAAAATCACACTATGCATTAATAATGATTAAAGTATCTACTATAGTTCAATTAAAAAAACTAAGGAAATGTGACCATTACACACGTTCTCTCTGACCTGATATAGCACAAGAATGATTCATTGTTTTCAAGGAATGTGGTGTACTGGCCCTTAATCTCCTTTGCTTGACAATTCTGTTTATATCTTAGAGTAGACCTTTGGTCTAGATGGGCGGGGTAGAAACACAAATTAGTCAATCAATCAATCGATCGATCGATTGACTAATTTGTGTTTCTACCCCGCCCATCTAGACCAAAGGTCTACTCTAAGATATAAACAGAATTGTCAATCAATCGATTGATTGATTGATCGATCAATCGATCTTTTGTTAGAGATTCCATGAATGCACAAATGAGGATGCTTCCACACGTTTGCAGCATCAGAAGTTAGACTAACATACTGAAATGGCAGATGGGCATGAGAAATGAAGGGTCTGCATCTGTTGCTTTCCAGTGAACAAGTCCACTGATTACCACACTAGTCACTTTGATACAAATTGCTGTGTGGAGAATATGAGAGGTGGAACACATGGTGTTTAATCACATCGTGATAGCACGGCTTACTGTCCTCTTTGATTGGCGGATGAGTGTATCTGTGTTCTCGTGCTTCTAGCCACAACAAGATGGGAAGATGCTTGAAAGACCTGAGAAAGAAAACTTATGTGCTGCATTTGTCCTTGTGAGCTATCAGCCCATACAGGAGACTTTTTATTTTATTTTAAAGGTGGCATTTTGGAGGATGCGGGTGGTTTTTCAATCTAAGAGACATGAAGATGAAGGAGGGCAGTCAGTCACTCTCAGTGGCCATTTTTTCCCAAGTGGGGAAGGGGGTGGAGAAAAGAAAGCTGGTTCTCAGGCAAAGCATCAGATGGAAAAGTTCCACCTACTGCTTCCCCAAGGTATGCAAAATCTTTCACTATTTCAATTTCTTCATTGCCAATACTCAAGTTCTGTAGTTCATCTGTAATTATGGTTTTTGTTTTAATGTTGAACTGAAGTCCTACTTTGGCACTTTCTTCTTTCACTTTTCCTAAAAGTCCTTTCAAGTCCTTGCTGCTTTCAGCCAGAAAAATTGTGTTGTCTGTATATCTTAATGTATTGATCGTTCTTTCACCAATTTTTACTCCTCCTCTAGCCTGCAGTTTAAGACATGCAGATAACAATAGCTGCTTATATCCCCTTGGAGACAGAGGACAAGTAAATCTGATGGGGGAAATGTCATGTACACAATATAGTACATGGAACTGCAGAAATAAGATGGCTATCTCTTCCCTTCTGTATGGTTACACACACACACACACACACACGAGATTGAGAGAGAAAGAGAGAGAGAGCATTGTTCTGTTCTGTTTTCAAAATTCTCCTTTTTAAAAAAAGCATATTTGTTTTTTCTAATAAAAGCTTCATATCAGTCAAAGACGAGAAAGTTAAAATCTATCTTACTGCAGTACAGAGAATTTGCAACCCAATCCACTGGCCATTATTAGAACAAGAAACAGGCTAAGACATCTCAGCCACAGGCATTACAAAGGGCTGATTCAATTAATTTCACTTTATTTCTTTGGATGGCTGGAGGACTCTATGGCAATAATTCCTTAGGGATGGCACAGTTGGATCCCATTTCCCTCATGCAATGGAAAATTGTGTGACCAGCAAAACACATTTCCTCTTATTGATTGACATGTGGGAATGTAATTCACAAACCTTCCATCATGCTTCAACATGCTGGCTGACTCAGGGAATGTCTGCATAGGGATAAGGTAGCATTAGCTCTTTTCAATGTGCTGATCCAGGACTTCTTATGACTCCACTAATCACACTAACTCTGATAGGTGCAAACAGCAGCAACCAAGCGAAAAGTGCAAATGTGACTCAGCACTGAGAAGGCAATGGCCAGTTGGTGGTCGAGCCACTGCAAGCTGGGTGTGAAATCTACATGATGCCTTTCAAAGACAAGCATAGAAACTATAACCTATACAAATACCTCATGCAAAAGAAGATGAAAGAGGACTATGGATAAGGATGTTTTTATGAATCATACACAATGGCCCTGCTTGAACATTTGATTTTTGCCCACCAGTTGCTCCTATTCTTTTGTACTGTGGCATTCTAGCTAGAGTGGGTGATAATTTCATTTTTAAAAAATGCAATTTCTTCATAAATTCAGTGAGAAGAATTTAAGACAAAAATAAAAATAAAAATATTCCATATGGGAGAGATCAAAACTATCACATTGCCTATCTGAGCATTAGGTTTCAAGGATTCAGCTCTTAAATGTCCAGTTTTGGAACCCTGTTTATTCAATCATATTTGTGGTGCTAAATTAAGATCCCCCCCCGGGTTTTCTGACAGGCTCTTTGTTTTTTTCATATCTATGTGACAAAACAAATGCAACACTACCTTGTGCATACCAAGAACAACGATACCTACTGTACAGCTATCATAATTAAATGCACAGATGGGTAAGAATTCTCTTTGGTCTATTTTTTCAGAAGAATAGAACAGCACTTGCACGTTCCTCCATAAATTCCACAGAAAGAACTTGAGATGTAAAACATTTATGTGTGGGAGAAAGCAACACTGACAAGCGTGCCCACCTCCAATTCTAGCAGTAACAACTTACAAACTCCTACCTTGAATAGATGAGAAAAATGTAACAGGTTGTGGGGGATATGTGGAAGGGAGAAGGCACTGGCATAAATTATTCCAGGATCACATCTACATCTATGGCTGCCTTTCTGTGGTATCTATTATTCAGCCCTTCTCTGACTCTCATAAAGGTGCTGAATTCTGTTTAGATCAAAAGAGCAGCACATATACAATAGTAGAACCAGGGTGAATGGAGTCAAAGTGGAACTGGGGATGCTGTAAATGAAGGAGAGTCAGGCCAGAATATATTATAATCTCATTGATGCCTTGTTTCTCTTTCATTCCTGAGGTCTCTGCTACCACTACATTTGTATAGCAAACCTCTTGGGGTTTGAGCCAGCATTTCAGCCATGTGATGTTTGTTTTCTAATATTCAATATAGTCATAGAACTCCTGGATAGCTCAGTGGCTTAGGCATTTGGCTGTGGAGCCCCAAGTTGGGTGTTTGATGGCCTGATGTATCTCCTTGACAAGGGCTGGACTCAATGATCCATAGGGCCCCTTCCAGTTCTGCAGTTCTGAGATTGTTGTTATATATTCAAACATCTAATAATACCGAAGAATAATAACCGAAAAAAGCACGAACTAATCAGTTCAGTTAAATGCAATTCAAGTTATACCTTTGTTGTTAAAGAAACAAACTATTTTAAAGCAAGTAACTATTTGTAAGAAATAAATCAGAATTCTATTGTATATGGCAGCAGAAGTGCAATGATATAAACGGTAGTCATGCTTTGCCACTTGTTGACAAATTGACACTTGTGTTCTTGTTGTCTGTCAGCTGCATGACTTGGTGGGCAATGAAGAATACAAGCATTGGCTTGTTAACTAGTCGCAATCTACAACCATAGTTTACATCATTGCATTTATGTTGACATGTGTAAGTGATAGGATTCTGGCCATTATTTCTCACCTCTACCCATAGCCACAATCAAATTGTCATGGTACCTGGATGCAGTAGAGTTGTAGTACTCAGATGGAAGATGGGATCTGCCCACTTTCTCTGCTTCTGGACCAGTCTTCTTGGTGTCAGCAAATAAAGCTGTTACATAATCCTGACCTTCTCCAAGTAAATCACTCCATGTATTGGAGGTGCTGGAGGAAGAGACATATTGTTTTTGTGGTGACAAACTGAAGTTACTGATCCCTGTTTGAGCAAAAAGGTAACAGAATGGGAAAGTATAAAAGAGGTTGAAAGAGAGAGAGAGAGAGAGGTCAACACTCAGAAACTATTATGGAAATGAATTAGCATAATCTAATTTAGTTTCTTTGGGTTGTGTTGTTAATGTGAAATGGTGCTCTTTTAGACTTTCATACAATCCTATGGCTATATAAAATGAGACACAGCTGGTAAAGTGAATATTTTGCTCATGACATGCAGATTTATTACCTTGCTAGAATTACCTTCAGCATCTTAAACCATAATAAATCGGGCCATCAGTGGAATAGCTGTTACCATGAAATTGATGGGTGGCTAGGAAGTACAGCATCAGGTAGGAGCCAATAATGAATCTACTGAACCTTCTTCCACCTAAAGAATTGTGGTGCTAATATCTTTTAATAAGTCTCAATCCATTTTTCACCAGTTTAAAATTTCTCAGCAGTCAGAACCTGCATGACACGTATCGGATGTTGAGACTTTTCACAGGCAGAAGGTTATGTTCACAGAGGAGAGCAGGGTGCAAGTCCCTGGTAAATGCTGCAAAGATACTTCAACTGCAGAAGAGGCAAATAATTGGGATCCAGATGGCTGGATCCCAGGTTGTACAGGTACATCAAGCAAAAGGATAGGACCAGTAGAGAGAAAGGAACATGATGTTGGAAAAAGGCACATTACACCGACATTAGCCAGAATCTTATGATATACTATTGCTTTGCACAGTAAATCATAATAGAGTAGGTCCATTGAATCACTGGAGATTTAGTGAGCAAACTCCTCCATAAGTTCAATTGATTCCAGTGGGTCTCCTCTATGACTTAATACAGGACAGTAAGCTTCCGTTCAGAGTAGGCCCATTCAAATCAATGGTCTTTTTTTTTTTGATAACTTGGGTTAGGGTGTGGGATACAGAAGGTAAAAGGGGGAAAAAGGGGCTGGAGTTAGGAGGGGAGGAGAAACAAAAATATACTAACATCCATTCTATTCATATTGCAGTATCAAAATTCAAACTCCGCTTTTCTACTATTTTCTGCATTCCAAATTTTAGTTCATGTTTTAATCAATGGTTCTTATAGAGGAGTTGACTCGCCAAAGATCCATTATTTCAATAGATCTACTCTAGTCCAATCTAAGTGACAGGATTTTGGCCATTGTTGTAACTGGCTTTTCTCTCTTGTGCATCCAGAGAAGAGGAGATCATTGGAACTACAATCTAAGACTTTGTGGTATCAAAGGAAAATCTTTAAATCACAAATAAGTGTTGGTGTAACTTGGAAAAAATGAATAGAAAGAAATATTTTGCTTCCCCCCCCTTCCTTTCTTTTTCTAGCTTCAGAACTGGCATGGTTTCTAGTCACATACCACAGGTATGCCTTTTCCACCTGCCATTCCTTATTGCAGATATACAGAAGTGTTGTTCCCATATTTTCTTATGAAAGGATGTGTTACAGTAGAAAGTGCTAGCCACCTTCTCTGGCCTAAGATATATTAAGCAGCAGTCAGATGGAATAGCAGTTCCAAACTCTAGGTAATGAAACAGCTCTTGTTCTTGGCAAATGAAGAATATGTGTCATCCAAGAGCAATAACATTTTGGGGTGGTTTTTTTTCTCTCCAAAAGTTGAAATCTGTGGCACAGTAGCCTGTGGAACAAGCTGTAGCAGGTGCATGGCTTAACAGGCTGTGTGTTTTGGAAAAGATGGGCCATGTTCTTTATGGAATGTGGTAGCCAAAATGGACTCTCTGCCTTGAAGAAACCAAGACAGACTGACCTTCGTGTCTTCCTCCCCTCACCCCAAAACAAGGACAGAGACATTGACAGGACATCCAGCAGCCACAGAACAATCATGTTATGTTCAAGTTTTGCACAAAAAAGAAAAAGAAAATAAAAAGAACAAGAACAAGAAAAACCTCTGTCTGTTAATATGAGAATGCATGACAGAGCAATTTTTCACAATGTAACTTGACAGATACTTTTCTCCAAAGGAGGTGGCATGGTGATGTTTTAGACTCACAAAAGTTGGTGCAGAAATATTGAATATATCTTTATTCTCAGCCAGTTTTTAGAGAGCACCCACAAAATGCCATCATGCCATCATTTTAATCTTCTATGTTTTCTGTTGCTTGTCTATCTTTTCTCAGACCAGGAAAGTCCAATTCCTCCCTCTGCCCCGAAAAAACAGAAGAGTTGAACAATTTCCACAGATATAAAATGCCTTTAGCACTACTCTTCTCAATACCAGAGCAAGATGTAGACATGGACAGTGATGGATCAAAAAATGGATTCTATCCCATCCTGTGGAAAATCAATTACAGTTCCATTTGTAGCTCACAGAGGTAGGGCTGTGACTGAGTATCACTAGGAGTCACCTGCCTGGAAGTAGCCTGAGTCAACCTCAAGGGCAGTTTGCTGCATCTTTGTAAAGCTAACCAGATCCTTCTGACAGAAAACAAGCATCACGTAATTCCAATATAAGGGTATGGAGGTGGGGGAACCCACATACAGTATTTGAGTTAAAATACAAATCAATTTTAAAAATAAGACACAAAAACATTTGCACCCACACACAGGGGACTGGCCACATTAAGATAACCACACATTTGGCTTGTGTAAACATTGTCTTATGAGAGCCAGAGCCAACATTAATTGCCAGCATCCACCCTCGTGCCCCTTTGCTTGACCGTCAAGCCTCAGAGCACACAAAAGCAAACACTCTCTTCTTTTACACTTGCTGCCGCCAGGTGATCTCTAAATCACCATTTACTTCAGAAAGATTCAGGTCCACACTTCAAGTTCTTTTAAATAAAACTTTGGTTTATTGATTACAGGGATTCATAAATATCTTCAGTAGCTAATCACACCTAAATTTCCCAAACTACACACTCTATTACTCTGGCTTTTCTCTCCTGCCTGACTCTTACATTTCCCTAACTGACCCTATCTGACTTAATCTCCTCTTGACTCTCTGGCTCCACCTCTTACAGCATCTCTCTCAGCTCTGCCTACCAGCAATATGAATATTTATAAATCATTACATAATACAACAAGAACCATAGATCTAATAAATGGAGAACACTACACAAGTATAACACATAGAGCATGGAACAGGTTACTTCATTGAACCACAACTCCCAGAATTCTTCAGAGTGAGGTCTACAAAAAGTAGCCTTTTCCAAAGTCTGAATCAATCCCTTCTTTTCCCTCCCTTTTGAACAACAACCTGGAAAAGTTACTTTTTTTGGACGATAACTTTTAGAATCATCCAGCTGGTATGGCTAGAGTCTATGCTGGCTGGGAGACTGTAGGAGCTGTGGACTTTAAAAGTAACTTTACCAAACTTTTGTTCATATTTTCTTCGTTTTCCTCACTGTGTGGCTTTGCAGCACAGTATTCATGATTCACACTGATTTTTAAATTTTTACGAAAAAGGGCATGAGAAGCAAGCTCAGTGAAAATCTTTCTTATAGAAATTGTCTCACAAAAGGGCCTCCATTAGCTTAAGGACGAAATAGCTTTCTTTTTAGGATCCCTCTGAACTAGTCTACAGGCTTACCTGAAGATTTATCTAGAGTCAGAAGTGATGCAATGGGAAATTTAACAGTTTTAGATAATGATTTTCCAGGGAATAAGGTGACGGTTGAGCCGGACTGTGCAAACCGTGAATACAGTACTTTCTCTGAAGATTTCAGTGTGATGCTTGGTTTGGAGTCAGGGGTTTGCTGGAACTGGAGTGAACCAGAAGGCATTCGACACTGTGCTACCTCAGTTCTGTATGGAAAATAAACCAAGCTGGTGAAATATGATTTCTTTACAATTAGTACAAGTTAAGTCCTTTCCTGTTTAGGGGCAATGCATGTTCTATGCATTTCCATTTGTTTCTATAAGATATTATTATTGCTGCACTAGAGTGCAGCACTAGACATTCTGCAACAGAGTAAATCAGCATTCTATAAGGCAATTATAAAAATGAGGCATCTGAAATAAAAATTTACACCTTTGAAATGGGGCCTCACATCAACACCAATTTTGGCACAGATGTATCAGCCACTGGCAATGGTGCGGCTAAAAAATATTGTAAATAAATAAAATAAATAATAGTCTGCTCTTATTCTGTGCCAAATATGGGGATATTTGGCCAAATGGTTTTCGAGTTATGATTTTTTTAAAAAGCAAACCTGTTTTACCTTCCTATGCAGACACCAATGACCTTTCCTGTCTGCAGATTTAAAACAGATCTAATACTGTACACTGAAAAGACCAAACTTGCTTATCTTGAAAGTGAATGGTCAGTCCCAGCTCCCCCCTTTTTATTTGGAACAAATTCAGGCATTAGGTTGCAGTAATAGTTAGAAAAAAGCCATTTGAACAGGGGAAAACCTCTGACTTTCTGGCTTTCTTTCTTACAAGCTGGTTATCAGCATGAACATTAAACATAAACATTGATTGCTTGGAAGCTTAGTCTGAACATTTGACCCTGCCAGTCAGGACCAAATTAAATGACAATCAAAGAGAACTTTTTAACTACTTCAATTCACACTTGTTGAAAAATATCCCTGACAATTGTTTTATATTTGGGTGAGAAGTGGTTAATTTATGAAAAAATGAGTCAGCTTCTGCAATTTTCCCTTGTGTGGTGTCACTTTGTAAATGGTTGTGAGCAAAAGAGGGTATCCTGTAGACCATCATGACTGCTGCCATTGGTGTTGTCAACATTCAGGCTGTCCTTTATTTTGCAAAGCTCAGCATTCTTTTTCCTGCTGGCAGCCCAGGCACGATATTGTGCAACACCATTGGACCATTCCTGGCTTTTTGATTTTGCAAAGCTCAGCATCCTTTTTCCTGCTGGCAGCCCAGGCATGATATTGTGTAACACCATTGGACCATTCCTGGCTTTTTGAAAGCACAATATCGTAGATTCATAAACCAGAGGGTTTTTTTTGAATAATTGAATATAACATAATTTAGCCAAAGAATAATGTGATTATGGAGTTAAAGAATGTCCAATATAATATAATTTGACTATTCATGTGCAGTGCTAGGCTTACATTAAGTACTAAGTTAATAAATATGAATTAAATGGTACACTGTGCATGACAGGTTTCATCCTTAATGTTGCTTTTTCATTGCTTCTAATGATGTTGTTCTTCAGTGTTCTAATTGAATTGTTTTATGCTTCTGCCTTTAGTTACATATTTTTATGTATTCATTTAAAAAGTTTTTTTAAAAATCATATTAACAGGCAGCTCACAGAAAGCATTTGTTTGGAAAGACGGCATTTAAATTCTTAGATAAATAAACACAAACATAAACGTTACATGGCTGGAGATGTGTGCTTGTTTGTTTTCTTGAAAAAAGAAAGAGAACAAGAGAACGAGAGTTTAGTGTCTTATTATACAACTGCTGTGGCTTGTGGAAAAAAGTGCAGTGCAGTAAAAGTCCAAAATCTGACGGCTGTTAGCTTTCCGCTGTCACCAAATTTGTGTACTCACACTTACCATACTACGACTGAGGACCAGAATACTTGTAGAAACAATGATGCCCACATCAGAGTGCCCATGAAATGAGATACTGTGCTGTTTAAATTCTTGTGTTATTTTTCTGTAGTTTACTGTTACTGATTTAAGCGACCATGAGAACAACTGTATAAGACATGGGCATTTCGTAATCATATCCCTGGGGATATGAATACAGAACTCCGTTCTCTCGCCCAGAACCAGCTGGCCCACTCACTGGTCACTGCACCATGCACGCGTCCGTCATTGTTGGCATAGCGTCAATTACGGAAGTAGCCCAGCTGGCACTTCCCCATCTCCCTGCACAACCCACCATTCTGGCTAGGAGGTGGGATGAAGAATCTACCCGCTCCACTGTCGAGTGGTCGGCTTTGCAGGGAGGCAGGGAAGCACCGGATCAGCACAATGTTGACAATGACAGATGTGTGCACCATGAGGCAACCAATGAGTGGACCAGCCAGTTTGGGGGAGGGGCAGGCGGAAGAGATCTCTGTGGCACTTGTGGTCCTACACTTTGTATTCATATTCCCAGAGATGCAAATACAAAATGTCCACGTCTAATCTATATCTATATTGAACGGTAGCATTTTGAGTGACCTGCCTCCCATTCCATGTCTCTGCCAGCACAATGTGAATGATGCCATAATTCGTGGCAGACTGCTGCTAATTAAAGAGTTCTTGCTTCACTTTTGAGTTGTGCAGTACTTTGTTGCATTGCGTGAGTGTCATGTGCAACCCAACACTGAAGGAAGGACTGTTCAATCAGTGGCAATCTACTAGTGATGGTGACATTATTAATGCTATGCTGGCAGGACTCTGGAACTAAAATGTCAGATGTGAATCCTGACAACGCTTTTGCAAATACAGCAGCTGTAAAGAAAGGCTCCCTGGAACAATAATGTTTAATTGCCTTCTACTTGCAAAGCTGCCGTCTTTTTGCTTGTATCTTGTGTTGACATGCATGAATGTATTTCTGAGAATTTAGATATTTTCAGCATTTGTCTGGAAGCAACAACACTGAAGACATTTTTGAGGACACTTCCAGAGGAATGCCCTTTGCCCTTTCTCCCTCTAAGGGTCACAGCATTTATATTCTGCACATAAACCCTACCCCTACTTCTTCCTGCTCTCATAATAGTACTCCTGTTCTCCATATTAGACAATCATTCATCTATTTTCCATCTAGTTTGTAGAAGGAAAGTTTTTGAAAGCCAATTAAAGAGACAGTCAATTTCTGAAAGAAAATAGTTCATTTAATAAAATAAATATGCGCAAATGTTCTCAGTGTGCCTAATTCGAATCTTAAAGATTAGTCTGCATGTTTATTGCAAACTTTGAATTTGTACCATGGCCTACCTATGCCTGTCTCCAACTCGCCAGATAAAGTAAACTGCTTATATCTATCTGTGCATGCTTTGCTCTACCATCTTCCATTGGCCTGTCTGCATGTAAACATACCAGCTAAATCAGTTTACAGTATGTATAAATTGTACCTAAAATTGTTCAGTCTTCAGAGCCATAGCCAAAGGTAATGGAGAAAAAACTGCAACATCCTACATACACAAAATTGTTTTCACTCATGACAACCCAGCTAAGGCTGGCCTGACATCAATGCTTATTTCAATCTAGCCTTCTTTTTTCTTTTCTGTGGAAATATTTTTCTTCCACAACAAAAGCATCTGGTTTTGTTTAAGTGAAAATGGACCCTTCTTGCTTGAAAGGTCATCATTTCAGAAATCTACTGGTACAAGTAAGGTGTTCAAGATCCACATTTTTGAAACAAAAGTACCCCCCAGAATGGCCGCACAACTGATTTCTTCACACACAGAGTGCAGGAGCTGCTTTGGCATGTGGTTCCATGGGTGATACAGATAAATCAGTATTTGGGAGATAAGGTAATGTTAGCTGGTGCCAAGACTGAGGACCAGATCATACTTTACTGGGTTTTTAATCATAGTTTTAAATGTTACATTGAAGAAAATGGCTATGATGTCATGGGGGAATGATCCCAAATTATAACACAGAGCTGAGCACTTATGATGCCACAGAGGCAGAAATGGCAAGGTTTCAGAAGAACGGTTTCTGGACCAGTTTATTCTGGATGTTGCCCCAAGGGGGAAGCAGCTAAATGGGCCTAGAATCTGGGTACAAACCACTTAAATGTTTGACCAGGTAAAGGATGAAAGTCAGAGTTAGGAGAAAAGCCAAATTTTGGGCAGTCTGCCAGATGGTAGCTAGGAAACTGTGAAGATAGATATCTTAGCTTTCAAATTAAATTGCACACAATAAAAATCAATCTTCTGCCTCTTCCAGTACTTCCTGCTCTTCAATTTCTCTCCCTACAGTGGGCCATTCTCTAAGAGTGCTTTGAGATCTGACAATTTTAGCTGAAAGTAGAACCAGGATGGAAGTAGAAATGGAAATTTTAGCTTTGCTTCTATTAATTATTACAGCCACTATTTGTATGGCATTAGCAAAGAGGCTATAGAAAAGATAGGGAGTTATGATACAAAAAATTGGGCACAAAATAATAGCCTTGGGATGATGCACTTACCCTTTACCACATCCAAGTGTGTTCCTCAAAGTAGCAATTTCTTGTTGCAGGGAAGCATTTTTTTCCTGAATAGCATCCAAAGCTTTTAACTTGGACAGAAGACTACCCTGTATGCCCTTTAAAACAAAGAGGGGGGAGAAGTGAGGGGAGAAGTAAATTGTGGAGTTCAATATCTATTGTGAGAGTTTCATATATGTATGTGAGTTAATGCACTGTTTTTTGGATTGATGAATCATAAATCCTGCTCTTCCTGAAGCCGTTTGTTCTTTTAAAAATACTGGCTTCTACAATGATTTATCAGTGTTTTTGTTGTCATCCACATGACGTGAGGCTTGCCTTTTTCACGATGTGACTAGACAGCAGGAAAAATGTGAATGGATCTGCTGTGAAGTCACATCCAGGTAGCTGGGTTTCCCTGACTGAATTCACTTTAGCCAACCACACAGGAGCAGGGTGGTGGTGAAAGTACAGAGTAGAGAATTGGCAATCCACCTTGTTTGCAGTTTCTTAAAGGAGCTCTGTAGTGTCCATTCAGATTTGCAGGAGGCACGGCTACATCAGGTCTACCTTAACAAGCTGCAGAAGCTTCAATCCGCCCTCCCACAAACCTACCTCAATAAGCAATTTCCTGCACCCTCTTTAACTCATTTTCCCCTTCTTTGGTCTTCAGCTGCCCTAGCACACTAGTGATTCCTCCAAGCCCTTTTTAAAAATGGTTGAATAGAAGGAGTTCTTGGTTCAGAGGAACTGACATCCTTGTGAGTGTGACTGCTTCTTCTCTCCCTGTCTTGAGCTAGGAAACTGGGAGACCCAGCCTCTGGTTGCCCAGTCAGCCTGAAGCTGCATCGGTTCAAGCAACCACACTGCCTGAACTGGTGTGAATGCAATCAATAGGGGGAAATGGTAGAAGCCCCAGGGGTGGAGGGAAAAAGTACAGTCTGGAGGGAAAACCCTGCCCAACACAAATTACCATGACTTGTATGTCAGGTAGTCAATAGAAAATAATACAAATCAAACTGTCCGAATCCCAGAACATTTCCTGCATTATTTGCCCCTTAGTTTAATGATTTTTCAGGACTTTCCATGCCATGTTGTTCCCTCTTTCCAGTATGTTAAATTTTGTATCAGACTACACAATTAAATGCCATGGGATTTGCTGCAATTATAGTATTTTTCTCCTGTCACCTGACACAAGGCCGACTTGAATTGGTCTGGCCTTTTTTGTTCCCAACATGGCTTTTTTTCTCTGCCTCTCAGGGCTTCTACTTTTTTTCAAGCCAAAATGATTCAAACAGACCTTTTTGTTCCCAATATGGCTTTTTTTCCTCTGCCTCTCAGGGCTTCTACTTTTTTCAAGCCAAAATGATTCAGACAGACTTTTTCAAGTGTAATCAGTCAATTTGTTATTGTAAAGATGGGGTGGGTGGGTCTATGGGTGGTATTTCAGTGACACAGGCAGTTGGTGTGTGATGTTCATGACAATGGGAACACTTGTCCTTGCATTGTGCCCCCCCAATCATCCTCTGATTTTTTTTTTTCTTACATATATGTAAGTGCTGGATCACTCATATTGATATACTAGTCTAGTGGTAGATCACCTCTGGACAAGAACTGTTTTAGAAAAACTAGGAACAAAACAGAAGCTACCTAGATGAAATAAAAGACATTCTGTGGTATGTGGTATTTCCACATTAAAGTGCTTCTTATATTCACAATCAGGCCCTCCCAATTAGCAGCTTTCTATTAGGGTTCATATAGGAGGCAATTAGCACACAACAACAACAACAATAGCCCCAGAAGATGAATTCCAGCACAGGAATGCTTTTAAGAAACATTTTTAAAGGATTGCTAAAGACATCCTGAGAAGAAGCAGTTTTCAGAGAAGTGATTTTTAAAATGGAAGTTTGGATGTGAATGACATCAGAGCCCATGCTTCTTCATGACCTAGCAGACGAAAGAGGGTTTTAGCTTCTGCCCAACGGAAAACTCCTTAGCATTAACAATTGCCACATTTGCTTTGAAAATTCTGTGAGAATTTTTTTTTGTTAAATCTTTTCCTCCTCACAATACAGTAGAATTCTTCATCCACAGGATCAGTATCTGCTAATTCACTTATTCACAGTCTGAAAATATTAAAAATATTAATAGAAAAATCCCCTCAAAATATATTTCTAATGAGTTAATAGAACTGGCACCTAGAGGGTGCCAGAGCGTGTGTTATGTATACAGCATTTGCTATAATCCTTGTTTTTTTAGCATCGGGGGAGGGGCTTGGAATCAATCCCCCACAGATACGGGGGTCCTACTGTATAAGAAACGGTTGAACGTCATAGCATCATATTACACATTTTATTTCAGTAGACATTGCCAGGAGATGGGGAGATGGAGGGTGCTCTATCTGATGACAGCTCCATATTCTTTCATTTAGTTCCAGCTGTAAGAATAATTGCAAAGTATCAAATGAAAACAAAGGAAGTGAGAAAAATGTTGTCATGGGGTGGTGGTGGGTGAAAACCACAAAATATTTACAACTGTGTTTTATATATTGCCATCTATTGAACATTTATTTATATTCATAGTTTGCCTTTTTCAGCCATTAAAAGGGACAGGAGTCATCTGCAATCTCAGGGTAAATATTTTCAGGCTGTACCATATCAGAGTAATTCAGAAAAACAAAAGAAAGCCAGGGCAGAATTTCAGGAAGAGCCCAAGCTGAGAAGGCTTCCTTTTTACCTTTCCCTAAAGGTTTTTGTCTGCCAGGGCTCTTCCTCAGGCAGATGACAGAATGTCTGTAAAATATCTAGCTGTGTCTGCTTCTGCTGTAGCAAATCCCTTTTCCCCTCAGCAAGCAGGGGCCAGAGTCACAGTGGGGCTCAGACTGCAGACCGGCAAGCATAACATGGAAGGATGTTTTCCACACTCATATCAATGGTTTCCCTCCTTATGTACCCTATTATTATATATACTGTGACTTTATAAAATGCTGGCTGCTACCAAGAACCATTGTTGTTATTGTGAGCCATCAGGTTGGAACAAACTTACAGTGACCCTAAAAGAACTTTCTAGGTAAGTGAAATATTTATGGGATGTTTTTACTAATCCCCCACCCACATCCCTCTTGAGTTTCTATGGCCAAGCAGAGAGCTGATCCCAGGTCTCCTGAGTCCCAGGCTGTCGCCCTATCCACTACACCAAGCTGGGTATCACCACTATATGTATTACACTTCAAATAGGACATAATACTGAAATGTTTCACTTCTTCTTTGCAATTCCCAGTGCACAGTCTTAGAAGTTAAACAGGATGTGACGTGTGTGATCTTGATTTTATATTAACCCTTGTTTATACAGCTTGTAAGGAAACATTTTTGTGAACATCTTTTCACCTAGTGATCATCACTATTGGTATGTTTTAAATGTATGCACAATGACAAGGTTGGTCGCATCAGCAGCATCTGATTTCCCAAGATTTCAGGATCAACACATGAGACCAAATATGATTTATCTTAATGTCAGAAGGCCGTTGTGATGACACAAAGGCAGGGCAGGCAAAGGTTGGGATGGGGGTGGAGAATGGCTTTGGTTTCCAATAAGTCCTAATAAACTCAACAGTTCTTTCTTCTTTGCTCACTGGGTGATGCTTAGCATGGAAGTGAGAGCTGGACCATAAAGAAGGCTGACCGCCGAAGAATTGATGCTTTTGAATTGTGGTGCTGGAGGAGACTCTTGAAAAT